ACGGTATGAAATATACTTCACGACCTGTTTCTCATACCTAGCAAATATACAAAAAAAATTCATAAAAATCGTTCTAAACGTTTCGGAGAAGTGCGACCACAAACACTAGATCTTCATATATTAGATTAGAAGATACAGATAAAGATAAAATTAATTGAAAGTGAAAGACATTTATAGAGTAAGATTATAATCATTTCTTGATTGCAGAAAAACCAAAAATCTGGTAACTAAAACTGTACCTACTACCTAAAAGTTTCATTTCAATGATATATGGTAAAAGAGTAATGCTTCCAAATTATGGTATCAGTTCCTTATGGTTAATAGATAAATTTCACTATGAACGAGTAGGTATAGGTACCTAATATTAGGGAAAGTGAGGTATCCTGCAGTTTGTAATGTTTTTTCTTATAGGTACTACAGAGTGAATTTTTTTTTCATTTTCGCTATGGGTATGTCGTAAACAATTAGAGACAGAAAATCGCTTAAATGGGCAAAATTATGCAGATTAATTTTCCGTTTCAACACTTTTTTATATCTATCGTTTGTCTGGCACTCACGAGTTACAGACGTTATCAGATCGCATCAACAGTCGTCTGCGTGACCTAACGACAGTCGTGGTGCCGGGACCGCCAGCTTAACATGCCCTCCGAAGCATGGTCGTCTGGAGATGTTGGGTACCATAAAAACTAGCAAGTTGTGGGATTCGAACTCATTACCCGTGAGATTAGAGTCCGAGTCATAAACCGTTACGCCAAACTGACTACTCCCAAACCGAAAAATGTGATTTTCTATAAAATGTTCTAGCGTTCATTTATTTTCAAAGATATCAAAAAATAATTTTAACAAACCCTTAGTATAGATAATTTTTCTCAGCTTTCTGGAGTTAATATAATAATTTTATTATTTGTGGGTTTAGAGTAAATCACATTAATTTTCTCATTTCTATGGACGCCATACCCATTTCATTTAGGAATCAACCTTGCATTTTTACCTTGAAGTTGACAATGTACCTATATTTCTCTGCGAGACAATAAACGAAGGAATTTGGTTTCAATCACAATCAGCCAAGTAATTATTGCCATAAGATTGATTTTAAATGAATTATACCTCGAATTAAGTGGTTGGTACCTATGGTTGTAATTTTTTCTCTACCAAGTGACGCAAAAATCCAATATGGTGTCCATAAGAAATAAGAAAGTTTATGTGATTTACTCGAAACCCCCCAAGTGATCTTCTGATTGTCTTTGAAAATAAATCAACGCTGCCTTATTTTCGAAAATTACATTTTTCGGTATTTGGTCATAAGTCGCTATTTCTGGAGCTATGAAAAACTATGAATGGGAAATTAATCAGCATAAAATTCTGCAAAGCTTTCTCCATTTAAGCGAATGTCTCTTACGAGATCCCCATAGTGAAAATGAAAGAACAAACTCACCCTATATACATATAGGAGGTGGTTTTCAAAACTGTGTGGGCATTGGGGCATTTGTCGTTCTTCAGTTACTTTCTGGGCCGAAAACATGTTTGTTACTAGTGGATTCTTTTTTGTGCGCTAGATGTGTTTAAGTTATCTAAGCACTTTCCAAGGGCTTATACAGGTCCTGTCAGAGCCAACATACGGACGTACGCACGTAGGTTGCCTAAGGTGATCTAAAACGTCGGCATTTGATGAAATATTAACATGTCCAAAAAATGGTAATCGCAAACGCTTATGAAATTTTTGAAAAAGGTTAGGTATCACCGAAAAACTGAAAATGTTCAATTTTGTTTTCATTTTCCCTATAGCTTAAATGGTCGGAAATGGATGGTTTATATTAGCACCTTCTATGGGCACTTTTTTTCGGACAATGTGAATCTGTTATCAAACTTGTCGTAGCACGCTAGATGTAGACGCTACAGTTTGCTAGTTCTTCGTTCTTATGGCGTCCACTTTGAATTTTTACGAAGTGAGATAGAGGACATCAAAAGAAATTCATTAGAGTGCATATATGAATAGCCATGTCAATTCAGTAAAATCTAGTCCCACGTGGATCTTTCGCTGAGAAACTTTTGATTTTGAAATTTTTCTTGTAAATTTATGTAAAAATATGTCACCAGTCAATATGTTTCTTTTTTTGTCCTACATCTCATTCCATAAAAATCCAATATGGCGCCCATAAGAACTAAGAAACTGTAGCCTGTAGCTTCTAGATCTAGGTATAGCGTGACAACAGATTCAGATTCTCCGAAAAAAAGTGCCCATATATAGAAGATGCTAACGTGAACCATCCATTTCTGACAGTTTAAGCTAGGGATGTGAAAAGGAAATTTGACTTTCTCCGTTTTTCGGTGATATCTCAATTATTTTCAAAATTTTTTCAGAAATTTTAAATATGTCTGTTTAGTCACAAAAAGGGGCAACAACAGACACCGTTTAAGAAAACAAAATTTGACATTTCCAAACATTTTCGGTGATATCTCAGTTATTTTCAAAAAAATTTTGAAAAATCTCAAAAGCCTTTTTGTAGTCATAAAAAGGGGCAACTTTGTCCCCATTTAATCCAGACTGTATTTCTCACCGTTGCGGAGATCCCCATGACCACGGATTTGACCCAACACCCTGATGTACAGATACATGGAATTGCAGTATCTGATTCACTCCATGGCCGAAACTAGTGAGAAGACAACCATCAACTGGTGTAAAGTTTTAATTCAATATTTTAACTATATAGGTATGATAGTGCATTTGAATCGAACCTATCCTACCTATAGTGGTACATGTACATTCTGAAATTTATCAAAGGAACAAACGATAGGTTATCTATGTATCTAGCTTTCTGTGATGTAGGTAAGTATACCTAGTTTGACCATAAAATACCTACAAACTTGTGAAATGTTTTACAGTGGCTACAACCGGAGCATTTACCCTATTTTGGTTTGGGGGTGGAGGAATAGGTGCCTATTCCAACTATCATACTTGTAGGTGCTTAAATTTGGTATATAGGTACTTACCTATAGGTACCTACCTACTTAGGTATGGATTTTAAACTTGCAATTAAACAAAACATTCCTGCATGGATGCGGTTGACTATATAATGACTTAGGTATAAGGAAGTAAGGTAGATAAATTCCATTTTTTTCGGAAACCAGAGCAAGAGAAATTAACGCAATCTGATCAAAACCATCGGATTTGTGCAAGAAGGATATACAAAGATACAAGTGTGTAGGTAATCAAGTCTTTAAAGCACGCGTAACGAGTTTAATGGCACGACACGAAGCGGAGTGCCTTTAACGTTGAAGTGCTTTAAAGACCAATTATACACGTGTATCTTATAGTATTTTTTATTATACCTGCAGTATAATTTAAAAATAGAAAATACATTGAAATCATATTGACGTTATACTCGAATACATGTCTAATTAAGTGGGCTGGGTGTTCGTAATTTCAGGATTGCCATGGAAATGTCAATTGACGTTTGCTTATAAAAATCATCGTCTTTGTGAATAAAACGATTTCCGTTGAAAAAGATAATACACCGTTCATTAAATCGCTTATTGTAAAATGTAAACAAACGTTGGTAGGTGTAAAATCCAAATCCAGTGTAGCCTATTATAAAGAATATGAAAAGTTGTTTCCATGGATGAATAGGAAGTGAATTACGAATAAAGTCTTAGTGTTTGTTTACAATGAACGTATATACGTAAATATTTCATAAACCGTAACTCGTACATATCCGTATCTTTTCCGTAAATTTACTTCGCTGTTTACAATAAACCAAAGATCATACTTATAGTAGTTATGATCATTGACCGTACGTAGATAACTTTGAAACATTTTCAACTTTTGCGACTATGCGCAAGACTTCCATATACCGCTTTACGTATACCTACGTACGAAAAAATTACGTTAATTGTAAACACCTTCGTATGTTTCTAAACAGTTCAACTTGGCGAAATTTTTTAGTTTTATGTATTTCTTACGTATACGTTCATTGTAAACAAGCACTTAAATGCATCGATAATTCTGGCATATATGAAGGAAATGGCAAAGGTATTTAAATCTTCTATCTTTTGGTGCATTCATTCAAAACTTCAAACAATGATGCAATTAAAAAGTGGAACAGATGACAGTTTCAAAAGTCATACTTGAAGTATCATTGCTTAGCAACTTTAAAGCACGTGTGTTTTAAAGGCCTTTTTTCGCACCCATTTGAGTGTTTAAAACGGAGGTTGTGATTCAGGTATAATAAAAAAAATAATAATATGCAGATTACCTACCATCTAAGTGTACCTAAATACTTAATGCATGTGTGACAACCGTTGTGTATAGGAAGAATTTATCACTTATTATATGCTGATAGCTCTCATGAAATTTGATCGGAGATCGAAAGAATCTGGACGAAATTCGCGATTTAGCTCTTTGTTCTTATGAATTTCTGTTACCTCAACACGTAATCCTTCATCTGAAGCTGAACCCTACCTTCGACATTTATGTTTCTTGTTAATTACGTCAAAGTGGGCGCTTTAAGAGTCGTTCAGCTGGCCGGTGATTCATAAAGTACGTAATAAAACGTGTTAATTTCAGTACACAAGAAGTGCTTGTTTATCTTATATATGAGCTTATGGTGTCGACGCAGCTCCCTGATAATTACTTACAGCGGGTCAAATTGCAACGAGCTAAAGTTACTGCATCTGTGCCAGCTATTTACGCAACCTGATAAGGAAGATAGGGGACATGTGTTTTTAAAACCAATCGGGAGGCCATCACGAATGCAAATGCGAAATGTCGGCGATCTTCGCCATCATCAAAGCAGATAGCGTAAATCCTTGGAATGGTCGGAAGTCAATCTCCCCAACTCAAAAACTTATCAATCCCAAGTTCGCAGCTGTCTCACTCAGGCAGCGTCATTTTCAAATGTTTTCCTGTTAGCCAATAGGGCTGGGGGTAGGGAGACCGCGACATTCATTGGAGGAACGAAGGACGACCAGTTTTAAGAGATTTTTGTATGCGCAGTCGCGCTTTTAACGTTATAGGGAAGACATGTAGTGTGGAAAGTTATCGTGGAAAATACAGTTTTGTGTTTGTTACTTGCATTCAATTTTTCTTACGTTTGGGATTTTTATCAATTTATTTATGTTTACTTATAAACAATGGAACAGCGACGGGGTTACGGTTTTTATACAAAGAGGTTAGTTTTAATTTCTTTTTGTTTAATTTAAATTTATTTTCATCAAGTGTGTAACTGCGGAGCGAACTAAAGTTTTTTTTTCTCTTTACTAGTAAGCCCGGTGCGATTTTTTGTGAAGAAACTGATGATACCAATTAAAATTATGGTACGTTTCGTGTTCTTCATGTTGTTTAAGTTCAAAATGGCGGTTATTATTTATCTTGTGTTTTCATTTTGTGTCCTTGTTTGCTGGCTTACCAATCGGTATGTGCGTCTTTGTCTGTGTGTAATGGTTGGTTGCAGGTGTTTGTTAAACGTAAATTACCGCTTTATCGTTTAATTTAATCTAAATCGAGCCATGGCTTATGAAATGCAATTCTCATCAAGTGTTGTCGGCATGCTGAATTCTACATTTTTTTTTATTAGGTTAGTTGTACTTGAATCTAATTAAAGAGAAAAATTATGGCACATTCTTTAAAGTTGTAAGTAATCCGGCGAGCTGAACATTAATAACGCGACGCTGGTCGGTACATTTGCTTGTGACGGTCGAAATGAGCGGGGGGCCTTTTTTTAGCTATTCGCCATGCGCGTGGTATAAAACAGACTGCACTGGAGTCGAACAAAGTTGGAACGCGCCAGGAATGAGCAAACTTTCAGATGCCGATCTCGGTAGTTCCCCTTTAAGTTTTACTTTAATTCAACTCGCCCCCGTTTGTCTCGCGAACTGAGCCAGCCGTCAGTCATTCGTTTACGTAACTTCCAACTAAACGCACATTATTTACTTATAGACATGGCGTCGTTTCCATCACGTTTCATATTTACGATAGGTATCTATGCAAAAAAAAACAAGTGGCTTTTCTCTCATTGTTGCTCCAGTAAAACTTAGTTTCAAGTCCGACGGTAACCAACTCTCTTTCCATTTTTTTACCAATAAGTTCTTCCAGATGAAGGGTTTATTTTCAATTTTGTTTCAATTGTTTTTCTGGTTTTCGCTGTTCGCAAGGCTATACTACCGAGGCAACTACAAAGAAAAGGAGCCTACTCATCACGACAAAACCTTTAAAATAGAAACTGGTTTTCAAGGGAATCCTTTCCATTTTTTTATTATGTGGCTGATTGTACTGCAGGTGCAGTCGATGAAGTTCGTAATTAACGTTGCCATCACATTTTTCTAGTTATATGCGCATAAAGCGTCATTATAACCAGCGATTTTGGTAACCGTTTTCAATATGGCCTATGTTGCCTACCGTATGAACTCTTGGTGAAAATTTGTTCCTATATACTTAATTATACTTATTTCGAAGTAGATCTATTTCCTACGATGGAAATTTCTGAAAGTTGGTTTAGATTTGATTTCCCATACTAAGGCAGCATTTACCTAGTGGTTTTTATTTCAGAAAACAAATGAATAACGAAAAACAATTGATTTTTTTTACATGGCAGTGCACATTTTCATTAGGATTTTCTCTCTTTTCGATGATGTAACATGTTAGTACCTACTCTAAGACAAAAAAACTTCTAATCGCATCCAATAACATTAATCTAGATATCCTACATCTAAATAAAACAAATGAACGTGTACGTTTGTTACCATTTTATGGTAAATTTCATTTTGTCTTCAAGGTTTAATAAGAAACGTACCTATTACACGTTCATTTGGTTTATTTTGATGTAGGATATCTAGAGTAATGTTATTCATGTGATTATAATAATTTTGTTGATAAACTCTTCTAATTTGAATTTCATTATTTGAAATAAAAGACCAGCAGGTTGGGTGAAATTCAACACTTTATTTTCTCTTTATCGCAATCGATTTCGGCCAATTTAGGCCATCATCAGGCGTACATTCACAAATATTTTTAGCTACGCCTGATGATGGCCTAAATTGGCCGAAATCGATTGCGATAAAGAGAAAATAAAGTGTTGAATTTCACCCAACCTGCTGGTCTTTTATTTCTGATTTTAGGTAATAAGTTTTTTTTTTAAAATTTTCTTGTATCATGGTAAGTACTAACATGTTACATCATCGAAAAGAGAAAAAAAGCTCTATCAAATGAGCCTAATGAAAAGTTGCTCTGATGCCATTTAAAAAATCTCAATTGTTTTTTGTTACTCATTTGTTTTCTGAAATAAAAACAACTGAATGGTGTCTTATTATGGGAAAAAATGTTAAACTTTCATATAGAAAAATGTTGTATAGGAATATATTGGATATTTACCGAGATGACTAATTTCCATACATAATGGGCACCCTGTGTATACCTATTATAGTTTGCTGATTGTAAAAGCTAAAAAATCGATACTACCCAATCGATTTTAAGGAAATTTGAAGCATTTATGAACTAATAAATGCATATAGGTACCGAGATAGGTAGATTTCAATTTTTTTGCTATAAGGGTATAGGCACAGTTGTGGTCAGAAGCAATGTCCTTCCTCCGTGATTTAGGTAGTTCAATTTTATTTCAATCTTAGGGACTTTCCTCATTTTGAAAAGAAGCTCAAAACTCCCAGATCTGATATATTACCTAATTATGTGCTACACTTGAGACAATTCTTGCAACGTAGGTATGCTAGGCACGAAGCAAGTTTATTATGCAGGGCCATAAAGTTAGCCTTTCCAGCAACGTGACGTCAGTACCGGTATGCTATGCGTATAACCAAATCGAGCCCGGCAAAAAGAATTAGCGCTGAACTTCGAAAAAAATAACGTGGACATATGGGCGATTCAAACACGTTCGGATATCCCATTTCGGTTGTTATATTGGATTGAATTTGCATCGACATGAGGATATCGATTAATAAAAAAAAAATGTTACCAACTTTTTTCCGGAAAAATGTGTAGAAAAAATGATGATGTGTAGGTATGTATAGAAACATCTCGAAAAAATTACGAAATATTTTAGGTGATGGAAATATGGGGGAAATGTTTTATAAATGTGTGTCAAGTGTGCGAGTGTAGATATATGAAATTTTAGAAATAATTCAAAAATTTGTTACTTTGCAAATGTATCAAATATTTGTAGAGATTTTGGAAATATTTCATATACTTACTTACAGTGTTTCAATGACTTGTTTCCAAATTAGATTTTCCGTGACAAAGAAATGTGTAGAAAGTGTTAAAAACAATATTTTGGAATGTTTGGGAAGATTCAGAAATATTGCAGAAGTCGTGGGTGTACAACCTAGGTACCTAAGTATGTAGGAAATTTTACAAATATTTCAAAAATTTGAAATTTCGAAAATGTATCAAATATTTGTAGAGATTTTGGAGATGCCTTCAAAATTACGCAAAAACAATTGTAAGAAATTATAGAAATGTTTCAAACAGTGTTTCAATGGCTTGTGTCCAAATTACATTTTTCATGGCAAGCCTGGTGGCAAGGGTATGTTTTAGAAACGCCTAGAAAATTTTAAAATGCAATATGTGGAATGTTTAGAAAAATTAAAAAATATTTTAGTAGTGGTGGAAATATGGGGGAACTGAAATTTTAGAAATATGTATTTCAACAATGTGTAGTGCATCAAATAGGTACGTAAAGATTTTGAAAATGTCTTCCAAATTAGGTACACAAAAATTTGTAACAAATTATATAAATCATACGGCGTTTTGATGATTTGTGTCCACATTAGACTTTCCGTGGCAAATGAAAAAAAATTGATGTGGCTTTCACATACCACCCGCACACCTGCGCAGGTGCGATTCTCCCCTTTTATGTCTAAGATCAAATTTGGTTCCAATCGGTTCAGCCGTTTATCCGGAAATGAGAGTACAGATGGGACGACAGACCGACATCGTCGAGATTTTGTTTGATTCGGATTCCTGGTGTTTCAAAAAGTGTATTTCCGTCAAGAAAGTGAGGGGTCTTTTTTTACTCCAATGCAATAGGTACCTCTCTTACCTCGTCCCTTACTAATGTGCGAGTGGTTAAAATGATGAACTTTTTTATTTACCGATCGACATCGATGCAAATCATCCAATATCAACAGCCGAATTGGGCTATCCGAAATTTGGTTTCAACGGGTTGGCTTCGCAGTAGTTTTTCTGTGGCAACTGGAAGAACAATCCAATAAACAACACAAAATCTTCATGAATCCATTGCCTATTTTAGATATTTTTATGTAGAATCCAGTGGCGTAGTAAAAACATGTTTGGACCACCTTTTCTGAGATTTGACCCAAAGTTGGTAGGTAATTTTTAAATGCAACACACTGTATATCTTAACTTCATTTTTTTGTATTCTTTCTCCTGATTACATTGATGTATCTCAACCTATATCTTGTGTAAATTTTAGCCATGAACCAACAATAAAAACCTTATTTTTTACAGTTTTACAGTGGAAACTAAGAATGCAAAAAATTGACTTTAAGATATATAGGGTGTTGCATTGAAAAGTACCAACTTTGTACCTGCTGAGCTATTTCGATTTAAAAAATTGCTCTTTATCTGCAAAAGAGTTGTGCACAATTTATAATTGTTCCTTTTTAGATAAACACGCCGTGTTTGGTATGTTTCGCCATTCCTAATCATATTCTTTTGTTGAATTTGTGCAGCTTCAAAGTCATTGGTGGAACGTTTTGTCAGATAACTTTCATTTATTTATATATTTATTTCAATAAAACTTATACCTATGGATAACTTGCAACATTTGATAATTCCCACCTTGCCACTCGGATATTACCTATGTCAAAATTTATCTAACTTGGAAATATGGTCGTATTCGTTTTTGTTTTGAATGGTGCCTAATGATCCAGTAACATTTCACTTGATTCATTCTGAAATGTTCTCGAAATGCGACGACGAATTTTCAAATTCGAAAGCCATTCGCTGTTAATTTAACATTTAATAAACAATTTGTGTTTTGACCCTATTTTACGATACACATCAATTTGCAATTATTACAATGACAATGCATTCGGAAATCTTTGTTCCAGTTTGATTATCTTTGATTTCCATTGGTTTCGAAGTTAATTCGCTGGTTTAATCTCTATAGATAGTTATCTTTCAGTTTATTTGTATCGT